TTTGGGGTTCTGCAGAGAGGAGGCAGGGGAGCATGGCCAGGCTGGCCTCCCCTCTGGGCGCTGGCGCGTGGCAGGTCCCAGGCGGGCATCTCCGGGAGCCGCCTGCACTGGCTTCCTGAAACGGCCCCTGTGTGCACACTTGAACTTGTGGGCAGGGCACCGGGAAGGGAAGACCCTCCTGTGTTGTACGTTGAGGGCTATTTTTAGGGTGACTTGGCACAACTTTGCAGTGTCACTTCCTGTGGTCGTCCCCTCCAGCCCCCAGCCCTGGGGTGCAGATCTCATGTACACGCTCACACACACACGCACGCACACACAGACACACACACACCCCTGCTGTGGGCAAGCACGACTTGGCCTGGGTTCTCGTCACCGTGGAGCCAGTGGAGGGTTTGGGCCGTCATCCTGGCTCCGCTGCAGGGCTGCAGGCACCTGGCGAGGCATCCCGGCCCGTCGGCCCCCCTGAGTATCTGCTCCGGGTCCGGTTCTGTGTGAGGTGCTGCGTCCAGATCCCACCTGAGCAAGACCCAGCCGGGCTCCCCGCCGGGTCGGGGGATGAGAGGCGGAGGTAGAGGGAAGGGCGGCCTAAGTGGTCTCTGCTCAGTGCCGCACGGGAGGCTTCGCCACGATGCTGTCCAGACCTCGCTGCCTGTCGGCGCCCGGGCGGGGCCTGTGAGCCAGGTCCGAGCCCCCACCCCGGCTGCCCCCCATCCCACATCACTGGCCTCTTCAGGTGGAGTCCACACCATCCTCCTTTCCCCCGCTTCCTGAGGGGTCCAGACCACCCCAGGCCCATGGCCCGGACTTTCTGGGACAGCCCAGGTTTCACATTTTCTCTCCTGTTGACCCCTTGAACATTTCTTGGACTTGTCAGACCCCAAGTGCAAATTGTTAGCTTAGAAGTGATCACTGGGATCATAGAAGATCTTAGCAAATATTTGCTCTGTTGGCTGTTCCCAGGCCCTCGGAGGGTCCCCAGCAAACTGGCTCTTTCATGGAAGTTAGAGTATCTGAAAGCGTCTGATGGAAAATTCAGAGACGTGTGCGGGCACTGAAGGTGGCTCTCAGAGAGTGCAGGGACCGTGCTCCGCGGGCCAGAGATCCGCAGAGGATTTGGAGGTTGTCTGGAAGGAGCGGCCACGTCGCCAGACCTCCTCTCTCCCTCCCTCCCTGACTTCCTTCCTTCCTCCCATCAGACAATTACTGTGCACTTCCTGTGTTTCAGGTGCCGTGTTAATAATTGGCTGTGGGATTATTCCTAGCCGCACCCTGCGTAAATGGAACCCAGCTCTGTGTCCTTGGGGAAAAGGTCAGGAAAGGACTGGGCCCAGCCTGGAACCTCGAGGACCCGAGTCTGTCGGTTCGTCCTGGAGCGCCACCTCCCTCTGCCACCAGCACCCGGGCTCCGTGCCTGGCTCAGCAGGCCCTGAATCGGGTGGAGAAGGAAAGAAGGAAGGCCCCGCCTTCCCGATCATCCCATGAGCGCTTTGAGGGTGTCTTACATGGTACATCTGTGTCTCCCCGACACTTAGCAGGTGCTCAGTTAGTGTGCTGAGGACCGGGGAATCTGTACATGGGCTGGGCGCGTTGCCCCAACTCTCCTGCAGAACGTGTGGCTTCTGCTGCTGTGATCTAAAGAATAAAGGTGGCAAAGGCCTGCTCGTGTGAGCCGTCCCCACTCCTGATCATAAACGTGCTCTCTGACCACAGCTCCGGACTGTAGCCCTGGGGCCACCACGGCGCTGGCAGTCCATGCCTGTGCGCAGTGTCTCCGCGGGCTGATGCTGTTTTAGTGAGAAGGATTTACTGTTTTTATTTTTTCCCAGAGACATTAAACATGAATCAAATAGCACA